TCGGTGGTGGAGTGCAAAGAGACGCTTATGGTTCTCGACAACTATCGGCGCGAGTTTCAGGCCCTCATCGAGTGGTTGCACCTCAACATCGACTACGAGAGCAAACCGGCGCCCGAGAGGCCCACGTCTGTGGCCTGGGAGGTACGCAAGTTAGCATCAGTTTGTGGTGATGTTTAGTGTGGTTTAAATGTCTTGTGTTTGCGTGTCTTCAGCTGATTTGCCACCAAATGGTGACCAGAGTTCGCCCCAAAAGCTATCTAATGAACCGCCGATTGATAGTCACGCGAAGAGTGCCAATGAGTCGATGGTTAGCGACAGCGGCAGTGAGAAGGAGAACAGTTCCCCCAAACCGGTGCTCAAAGAGACTGACAAAGACATGGACTCTATCGGTAGCGACGGATCTGTTACGTCGGACAGCGCTGAAGAGCGCCCACCCGTTGCAGCCAAAGAGCGTACCGTTAGTATCGACGGTGGAGTGAGAGCGCCGACAGACAGGTCTATGATCGCAGCAAAAGCCACCATCAAGTCCTCGGTGTCCACACCGACACTCAATACGATGACCACTAGCTGCCCGTCAAAGCTGTTAAAGTATTGTTAATTGATTTTATGGTGACTGTATTGTAGTTAACCATTGATTATCTCATCCACAGTCCGTTGGCGCAGACATTCAAATCGCGATTACATCCAATGGCGCCGTCGAGTACTACCATATCATCGCATCCGCAGCCAAAACGGCAGTTGAAAACTGTGTCATCGGCCACACCATCACCGGCGGTGGCGGCCATTACTACCATCACTACTACTACATCACCGGCAAATCAGACAAAACCCGGACAGACTCTCAGCGGTGCCGCTACTGTTCCCACAGTTGCTGTCAAAAGCACTGATTAGGCGGAAGAGATGAAGGCGTGGAAAGAGGAACGCCAGAAGCGGGTCCAGGAGTTGCAGCAGAGGAGGCGCGAGAAGGACCACAAGATTGAGCTCCAGTTCCAGGAGAAGGAGAAGGAGCGCCAGGAGATGGCCACTCAGATGGTACGGCTCGTACTAGTGCTGGTTGTGGCCAATGGTTGGTCGTATCTAGTGATGTAAATTACATGTAATATAGAATTTTATATTACATGTTACAGTCATATGACGTCATATAACGTCACATAGTGTAATATAGAAAATACACATTTTGCTTGAATAATGCCAACTTAGAAATTATGGCTAAATTTACAATACATTTACTACTTGTATTGCCAATAGATGATAGAAACACACTTATATAGGGCTATTTCAATTGTGTTTCAATTAACTTTTAAAATAATAGCGTTAATTACAATATAATAATTGCCTAGTCAATAGATGGCGTCAGAGTTATATTACACTTTTTGTAATATAAAATTTTTATATTACACTTTACATGTCATATAACTGTAATGTAAAGTGTTATATGAC